TTTTTGTTTTTTTTAAGGGTCTAATTTCTTATATGCAGCATAGAATTTATGCCACAAATTAATATACAGAGTTTGCATGCTAAATGCATATGTACTATGCATGTTTGTGTTTGTTGAGTTCATTAACAGCAACCTTCAGAAAAACCAGGATGCATTAATTAGCAAGTGTGCCTTGTGGGGATAGATATAGTTAAATTAGAGAAGGAGTAATTCTTACTTTGAAAGTTCATTTCAACATTACCCAAACATGGGAAGTCGAAAATCAAGAATGTGGAAGCACCTGTGCTGCAGTACCCAACAAGGTTCATGATATTGCGGTGGTACACCCGAGAAAGGATCTTAAGTATGGACCTGAAGCTCTTATTGGTTTCTGGGTAAGACTTGACTAAAACAGATGTTTCTTGCAATATTCCCTGATAAACTACTACGCCATCCAGTGCTCCTGAAATATGGCCATCAGCAAAGCCATTCGTTATTGCTTCAAGTTCGTTATGTGAAAATTCTCGAGGGAAGCCACTTCTCCAAGACATGGGACAACAAGGACTCTGGGGATGTGGTGCGGGTGCACATTTATTTCTTATTAATTGATAAATACTGAAACCTTCACTGTCCTCTTCCACAGGATGCTTTGGTTTAGGATTCCATGGAGAAATCTCAGGCTCTGTCTCGTTTGATAGCATCAAGCTAGCAAACTCTTTTTCTTTTACTACTGCAATATTGCATGATAAATGTCCCTTTAGAAAAACTTTGGATTTCCTGAAGTGACTGACAAGCAAATAGCGAAAGTTAGAAAGAAAAAAAAAACAAACAAACAAACAAACCGAGAGAGAGAGAGAGAGAGAGAGAGAATGCGGGCAAATTAAGACAAAGGAAGTTTCAAACTCTACTTAAACTTTCCATTGAAGAGCACAAGATAAGAAGATTAGTCACAGCTCAAATTTAAAGAGAGAACAAAAACGAAAATGAAAACTCAGAATCAATTCAAATCTTAAGAGATTTCAAGACTACAAGTAAGAAAATTATGCACTGACACCCAAATTACAAAGGGGGGAGGGGGAGTCAAGAAAATTTTCATCTGAAATCATTAGTCTGTTCTATAATGTCTGCTGGATCACCTTCCAATACCAGTTCAAGTTTTTAATTTCTGTTCTTGTTCTTGATTTGTCTTTTTAGATTAATTTGACAGTTCCTGTAAGAGTGACGCTATCATGGCTTGGTAGTTATTGTTATGCATTTTAATGATTCCATTTTGATTGATGCAAACACTACTGCAGTAAAGCATAGAACAAAATCTTAAATGCTTGCCCAATTGTGTTATATAATTTCAGGACTCAGGATGACCTGAGTGTGTGACATACCCGTCTAATACGATCCATCGGGTATTAAGGTTTTGTGATTCATCCATTGCCACTCTCGCTGGACAAAACCCTGCTGCAACTTTAAGCACCAACCTCACCTGCACATACACCACAAAGTTTTTAAGTATGTTACATGGAATTGCAAAAACTGACATGTAAAGGGAAAAAAGAACACCAACCTCATTCCTTATGCACTGATCATATAAAGGCTGGAGGCTACTCCGGTATTGTTCTCTTTTTCTCTCAAATTCTTCTTCAAGCTCTATAGGATCCACTTCCTCAAGGTCAATGAATTCTAATCTCTCCCCTGCAAAACATAAGTTGTATTAGGTTAGGCATATCTAGTAAGTAGTTAGGCAGCCATATAACATGTAAGGTTTAGAATTCGCTTCTGGACCAATTTTCCCTTGTAAAGCACAAACAAAGTTACACAGATTTTGGTATAGGATTATAGGTTCAAAGGTAGGGTACTCATCATACGTACCTTCAGCCGAGTGAAAAACAAACACAAATTTTGATCTTGTGCAGAAAAAAGCGTTTTCTATTTTATGTGTTCCAAAGTTGTACAGAAAAAGGGTTGGAATTTTTTAAATTGACAACTTTTACTAATAGAACAACAACTTTTTGAATTTTAAAAAAATGGTATTTCTCTTCTCGATGTTTGATGAGGTCTAAGTTGGATTGATAAGCACTTTTACAAATAGAAACAATCAATTCCTATAATGAACTTTCATCTGTCGGAAGAATATATCATTGCCAAACATAAAAATTGTAGCTCAAACAACTTAAAACAAATATTAACAGCGTGACAAACAGAGAAATTAAACATAACCTAGTTTGCAAGTTTAAACTTACATATACCAGATGTGACAATGCCCATGAGCAGCTTAAATGGAAAGCAAGAGTTCTTCTTGGGCAGTTGATCATTGAAAACTCCCAAAACAAGGAAGATGTCTCGTGGACGAACGACATGCTTGAGAGCCCACTCGACAGCTTCCATGGTTCCTTTGGTCCTGTCGGCGTCCACAGCCACAACGACAGCCTCTCTTGAGCGCCGGGCTGCCAGCAGACTCATCTGCCTCTCGCTCGTCATTGCTGTTGGAGGGACGACGAATGGTGAAGATGGTTTTGCTTCTGAGTCTGTCTGAGTGAAGTTAAAAGGAGGGTTTTTGGGCTCTCTCTGAATCTTTTATCTGTTTTTGGGTTTAATCCAATTTCCATAGGCGGTTCCGCCATCAACAAGATCAACAAGATCAACAACCTCAACAAGGTTGGGGTTAGTTATTATCGTTGCCCCACTGAGGCTACCAGCTTCTTTTGTTTGGAACAAAAGAAGCTTTTATCTGTTTTTGGGTTTACTCCAATTTCCATAGGCGGTTCCGCCATCAACAAGATCAACAAGATCAACAACCTCAACAAGGTTGGGGTTAGTTATTATCGTTGCCCCACTGAGGCTACCAGCTTCTTTTGTTTGGAACAAAGGAATATTTTTCTTTTTTGTCTTGTGTATGGCTGCCCAATTGAGCTTCTGTTTTGCTTGGCATTTTGCTCAATTGTAGTCCTTGTATAAATCCTCCTTTAAAAAGTTTTAGGGAAAATTACACTTGGCAACCATGTAGTTTGGGGCTTCTGACAATTTGATTCATGTCTATGAAACATTGGCAAAAACCACCATTAAAGTCACCAATCTTTCATCATTAGCCCCTTGTCCCTCGAATCGAACTATAAAGTTAAGCACTCGTTCTTTTTCGTGACACTCAATTGATCCATTTTTGCTTATATGTAAACCTAATTGATGTCATGTGGATCATTATTCATCATCTCTATGTCTAGATGGTTAAGTTTTTCTCTAGAAAGAAAAAAAGGTTCTTATTTGGTTCATGTGACTGAAGGAAACCTTATATATTTTAAAGATGATATGAAAATACATGAAGAGCATAATCACTATTATTGCAACGAAACTTAAATACAAAAATCATGAGTTCAAAATCTAATCTTTTTCCTATATTTTTAGGCCTAAAGACAGTGAAGCACCTAGAGTCTTCCAAACACTACTATAGAGAGGGAAGAGATTCCTTTATACCTTGATCACCCATGGAGGGCCTTCACCAAATGATTCTCCAAGAAAGCTATATAAGTGCATGGTCTCTAATTTTTTACACACCAAAGAAGAGAGAAGGAGAAGAGAATGAGATTAAAAACCTAGGAGGTTGAAGAAGCTAGTAGCGTTCACCCCCCTAGGTGGCTGGCAATAGCTAGAGGGAGAGAAGGCATGATGTTGTCTTTTTCTCCTCTCAAATATCTACGTAATTTTCAATAATATATCCATTTTCCGTATAATACTAGTAATAATACTTTCTTTTGATTTTTTACTTTTTCAGAGTTTTTATATGTATAAGGAATTTAGTTTTTTCCCGTTTAATAATCGTATTATACACGTACGTATGTATTTTTCAATAATACTTCCGTTTCGGTACACATCTGAAAGGCTTGGTAAAATAAAAGTTTTTAAAAAAACATTTGTATTTTTCAATAATACTTCCATTTTTCGTATAATACTTCCTTTTAATTTTTGACTTTTCCAAAGTTAGTATCCGTATAAAGAATTTAGTATTTTCCCATTTAATATTCATATTATACACATACGTATGTATTTTTCAATAATACTTCCATTTTCCATACACGTCTTAAAGGCTTTGTAAAATACAAGTTTTTTGAAAAAAGCAAACATAAAATACACGTATTGAACACGTACGTACATATTTTACATATTTAATACACGTGTTTTTTACAAAATTTTCAATAATACACACAAACTTCATGTATTATTATACACATAATATCCACATATTATTGATTAAAAATAATATATATTAAAATATTAAAATAAATTATTGTAAAATATTATATATACATGCAGAACTTTTCAGTTGTAACTTGCCAAAATTATAATTTTTTTAAATAAATAGTACGGTTGCGTCACTATACAGGTCTTTTTCCTTTTTTTTTAAATAAATAGTATAGTATAGCCGCCCGGCTATACTATTAACTTGAATAAATTAAAAATCGAAGTATAGCCGGGCGGCTATAGTCCTTTTTTTAAATAAATTTTTTCCAATTATTAGTAGCGTGCTATAGGCCTTTTTCTAAAGAAATTAATAGTATAGCCTATCGGCTATACTCCGTGTTTTTTAATTTTTATTCGAGTTAATCGTATAGGCGGCCGGCTTTACGCCGTGTTTTTTAAAATTTTCTCCTGGAATTAATAGTATCGCCGCTCGGCTATACTCTGTTTGTATTGTTTTTCAAATTAATAGTATAGGCGCACGGCTATACTATTTTGTCCATTTTTCCTGTTAATAATAGTATACTGTTGCATTTTTAAAAAAATATAATAGTATAGCCGTCCGGCGGTACTCCATTTTTTAAATTTTTATATAATTTAATAGTATAGCCGCGCGGCTATAACCCGTGTTTTATTACTTGTTTTCCAAATTAATAGTATAGCCGTTCGGCTAGACGTCGCGTTTTTTTAATTTTCTCCTGAAATTAATAGTATTGCCAACAATTATCATTATTCTTAGGAAGTCATTTTTAATTGGTAAGAAAATTTAACTCTAAAAAGTGTAAGTAGCGTTCATTTCCAGAAAGGAAAATTCGTACGAACCAGAAACTTTTTAGTTAAATTTTCCAGTGATTTCCCATTATCCTTCTTAGCTACGAGTCTCTTTTAATTTTGAAGTGAATTCATTCACCACCAAACACCCAGCTTCCTTTCTCAGCTCAACCATCTTCTTCCGGACACTGATGGGAACTCCTTACCCAAACCCCATTTCTCCTTCCCAAACCCGCATAGGCTGGATTGGCATAGGCGTCATGGGAGCTGCCATGGCCTCCCGCATTCTCTCAGCCGGCTACTCCCTCACCATCTACGCTCGCACTCCTTCAAAAGCTCATCCCCTCCAATCCCAAGGTGCCCAACTCGCCGATTCCCCATTTCAACTCGCTCAACTCAGCGACGTCGTCTTCACAATGGTGGGACACCCATCAGATGTTCGATCAAATGTCCTCGACCCAGAAACCGGCCTTCTCTGGGGCCTCCGCCCAAACTCGGTCTCCGTCGACATGACAAGCAGTGATCCAGCCCTTGCCCGCGAGATTTTCAATGCTGCGCGCGCCAAAGATTGCTGGACTGTCGATGCGCCAGTGTCTGGGGGTGACATTGGCGCTAGAGAAGGCAAACTCGCCATACTTGCCGGCGGTGATGCTTCCGTGGTCGAGTGGTTGGCTCCATTGTTTGATGTTTTGGGGAAGGTTACTTACGTGGGTCCTGCGGGCTCCGGCCAAAACTGCAAGATTGCGAACCAGATTGTGGTGGGGGGGAATTTGCTGGGGTTGAGCGAAGGGTTGGTGTTTGCCCAGCGGGCCGGGTTGGATGTGCGGCAGTTTATGGAGGCAGTGAGGGGCGGGGCGGCCGGGTCGATGGTGATGGAGTTGTTTGGGGAAAGGATTATAGGGAGGGACTTCAGGCCTGGTGGGTTTGCTGAGTATATGGTGAAGGATTTGGGGATGGGTGTGGATGTTGTGGAGGAGAATGAGGAAGGGAGGGTGGCGGTGCTGCCTGGTGCTGCATTGTGCAAGCAGTTGTTTTCTGCCATGGTGGCTAATGGGGATGGGAAGCTTGGCGGTCAAGGTCTTATCACTGTCATAGAGAGGCTCAATGGAAAGTGAGATGAAATGGTTAGCTCAATTTGAAAGGTGTGATTAATGGTTATGAGTGTGCTTATTTGTTCATTTGGCAAAACTACTGTTGTCGATTGCAATTAAGGTGCTTGCTAGGTTTATAGTATTGGCTTCTGTAGCTCTGCCTGTTATAATGTATAGACTTTTAAAACGGTTTGTTGTACATTAATATTGATCATAGACATCATTATCAAATATGTTGATTGCTTATCATGTTTTTGTTTTTGTTTTCTTCTAATGATTTGTAAAACGTCATTTATAATATCTCTTGGAAACTAGAATTTGTATTGAAATAACCAGTAGACTTGTAAAGAAACCTGGCTTCTGACGGAAAATATTTTGAAGGTACTACTGCCCTCTCAAGAGATTTATGGTTGCTATGGGATGCACCTTTTTGCTCACACTGAAGTTTTCTTTGCACGCTTTTGATTTTTGTATTACTCACACCTCAGATGGGTATTGTTTACTGTATATGCCGTTCCCCAGGGTTATTTTATGAGAAGGGTTATTTAAAAAGTTGAGTAGGGTTATAGACCAAATACAAGAAGAACGATCACTAAATTGGTGACCTAAATGTAGCAGTTCTGTTGTTCATCATTGGATGAGCTGGTCGGTACATCAGTTTCATCGTCTGTGAGGTATTGGAAATTTGGAATGACCACTATTGTGTTTGCCAAAATCCTCTCAGAAGTTTAAATTAAGAATTCAGAGAAATTCTCCAAGAATGCTGGCAGTGGTAGGCTAGACTTTTACATATCCAACTGTAAATCTTCCTCAGCCATTTGTAGAGGTGCTAAGCAGCAGGTATCCAGAATTTTACACATTTTCACTACTGTCCCTTTCTTTTTCCTTTTTTAGGGGCACAAATAATGTCCCCGTAAATGTGTTCGATCACGGTTGTGTCAACTTCTATCACTTTTCTTTGTAGTTTTAGTTTTATAGGGTGCTTAGTAGCTGCCTCCAACTTGTTTCATTCTTCTCATACTTCGGATTTTTTCTCTGTTTTTTTTCCTTTCTACCATGTAGTTCTAAATGCTCCTAAGTTCTGACTCCGATAACCCTCAAAGGTGGTTAGCCTTTACTGAAACTGATAGAGCCCCAGATGTAGGACTGAGCTGTACTTTCATTTCATACATCTAGGTCTTCTGTTCAGTACTATGGGGTCATTTACTTTAACTTTGCGCCGTCTCTAACCCATTTTCTTCTATTCCATTTTAAGTCAACGTGTCAAATTGTGTCTAACATCTATTCCATGTCTCTAACTCATTTTCTTCCATTCCATTTTGAGAAATTTACTCAGCCTGGCTCGCACTCTCTTCTCTCTTTGATAAAAATGTCATCTTCAGGCTCTAAGAAAAATGATAGGAACCATAAAAACCTTCACGAACACTCCTCCTGATCAAACGTTTGTCCTACATTCCTTCTGTTTCCAGTTTGGGTATTTTTTGGCGGATAGTTTCAAGTTTGGGTTGCAGATGAAGAGGAGTTGGAGAATGGGGAAAGGAAAAAATTTCCCCCTAAAGGCACAATAATTACAATATTATATTTCCTAACTGTTGTTTTCTGAAACAATAATAATGTTGTTAATGGGGTTTTTTATTATTATCTCTAAAGGGGTATTATTAAGTTCATTGACATGCTGGAGTGGAATGGTGCAAGCAAGGTTTGGCTTTTTGCCATTTCACCGTATACATTTCAATATCCACAATGACTAGGAAGTGACCATCTCTAAATTATAGATCCTTCTTGTGTTAATCGTCGAGATCATCACACTTTACCGCCTATAGGGCAGACTTATTTTTTATGGGAGTGATTATCTGCAGAGAATCTCAGAGTCCGGTAAATATTTAGCGGCATCTGTGAAAATTCATCAAAACTCTTAGAGTCATCGCACATTTTGGACATGATCCGTTGTAAAACAAAGAGGTAAGGAAAACAATATCTTTTGTCAAGTTTGGGTTTTTTTTTTCGTCCGAATTTTTATTGATTACTTCTTTTCTTTTTGCTTGTGATTTAAGGTTTCATTTTAGGCAATTAGAAGATCATCCACTCCTTCTATCTTCTACTGAGAGATTTAACCATTGCATTAAGAAAATGGTTGCCATGGCTGAAAGGGAGGAGGCCCAAGAAAAGATATACAACAAGAAAGTTGACTTCAATAGAGTCATTGAGGAAGGATGGGTTTTTCGTGATGCTCTCAAAGAAAGACATTATCGCCAAAACGTTTAGGGAGCATTTGAATATGCTCACTACGTGTGTCTCAACATTAATTGTGATTTGCAAGAGGGAGGAGACAAATATAAAAATACAAAGCCTTTGGTACGTATTATTATAATTTATGCACATATATACTCTCTCTCTCCTTTAAATTAATTACTACTTTGTAAACCCTTAATTTCCTATATATAAAATTCACTATTATTATGATTAAAACTATTCCAGACCCCATACGAAATACAGAAAAAGCTTAATTGGTTCTTCCCAACCCTGCTGATAGACGTATATGCTTTATTTGACTGAGGTAGATGCCCTCACGGACCTTGGGAGGTAAATGTTACACTTACACACACAACACACTACATTTTTAGTGAAACGTTATTCAACTTTTCATTTTGTTTGCGTAGCTTCTTTTTATACATACACATACGTACCTTACTTGAGTCCTATATATGTTAATAGGTATAAAATTGTCTGAGAGAAGAAAGAAAAAGAAGATGCAGACGAAAAAGAAGTTGAAGGCGAGGACGAAGAAGAAGAGGAAGATAAGGGCAAGGATGAAGTTGCTGCATAGCGTCTTTTAATTTTTCTTTTTTTGGTCCTGCTTGAAAACGATTTTCCTAAGTAGCTAGAGTTATAATGAGTGATATTATAGCAAGAGTTATGTATGTTTTATTCTAGGTTCTAATAATCTCGATGTTTAAATTTGAAAAATGATTACCAAAATGTGCAGTTTTTGCATGCTTATTATCTGAATTATTTGCATTCGTAAAGGTGGGAGAGGTGGAACTGTAAAAGTTAGGCTGACCGGCCACCACCGTCTCTGGTTGATGTTCTTGTCTCGGATGCCCTCCGGCTGGCGCTGTGTGATTGAATGAAGGGTGAAGGAAGCGATGGCTGCTGTTTTTGTAGTTTAGTTTGAACTTTCTCGTGCTTCTTGTTTGTAACGTTGTTTTGCTTGGGCCTTTCTGGCCTCTTTGCTTTGTTTCCTTACTTTACCTTGGTTGGGCTTTTATGGAATTTGATTCGGACCCAAAAAAAAAAAAAAATTGTTCACTTGGTTTCAGGTTCGACTCCCACGCATGACACCATGATATGACACCATGATAGTGTGTGAAATAACCTTCCTCCTCCTCTAGTTTATATACTATCACTTCTACTAAATGAAAAAAGTGACACCTATCAGAAAACTATATTTTTCACACACAATTTGAGAGGCAGGTTATAATTTGAGAGGCTAGCTGTGTGCGGAGGTCGGCTGCATCAAGCCCAAGCAAACATAATAAACGGGATACAGGAGGATAGATTTGGTTATGGTCCTAACAAATATTTTTTTAAATTTTATACAAGTGATAGGCCAATAATTACTTTTATGGAGAATCACTTCTCAAAATAATTACTTTAAATGATTTTAAGTGATTTTATTAAGAATCACATGGGAGGTGCTTCTCCCCATCATCACTTAAAATCATTAAAAATGGATTTTTTGGATAAGCACATGAGAGGTGCTTCTTCCCAGAAGTAATTCTGGTTTATCCAGAATCACCCCCAAACAAGCTCTTAATCACTTTGAGTACTTTTAAACTTCTTGCAAAAAAACCAAAAGTTTTTAAGCGATCCATCATTCATTTCCTTTTTTCCTCATTTAAGTGATCCATCATTCATCGTGTTTTCAATAGTTCAATGTGTGTGTTTTTTTAAAACCATAAGAAAGTGAGTGCATATTTGAAGCCACCAAAAATACAGAAAGTTTAGATTACTATCTTTAAGGGGCTGTTTGGGATTGCTTTTAGGCTTATTTACTGTAGTGCCCCTTGAAACTTCGGTCAAATCTCACTTTGCCCCCCCAAACTTAAAATGACCCACTTTCATCCCATGACCAAGGTTTAGTAACCCACTATGCCCCTACCGTCAACTCCATCTAAAAGTCTATTAACTTTGATGACGTGGCAGGGGTGTTGTTGTAATTTCGTACACATGAACATCATCCACCAATTAGGTGAGTAGTGGACCCCTCCTCCACATAGATAAAAATATAATTAAATATTCTAATAATTAAAAATAACTAAAAATTAAATTAAATAAGAAAAAAAAATTCAAATAATTAAAAACCCTACCAGTACACAATCCAACCCCCTCCCACCCAGATCCCACCATCTATCTCTCTCTCTCTCTCTCTCTCTCTCTCTCTCTCTCTCTCTCTCTCTCTCTCTCTCTCTCTCTCTCTCTCTGAGGGGGGAGAGGGGGGTGGGGGGGTGGGGGGGTGGGGTTGGGGGCTGGGTTTCAAACAACCCAGATTTGAAGTTGGGTGTTAAGGTTGGTTGGTGATCGAGAGAGGGAGGGTTGTGATGGTGGTAGGGTTCGGATCTAGGGCGGGATGTTGCGACGAATTCGATGTTTTTTTATCATTGAATCTGCAACCAACAAAAAAATTAACTAAAAATTTTAATTTTTTATATATAAAAAAAAAAGAAGCAACAGAGAGATGAAGTTTATGAAGATAGTGTTGGATGCTGGGTGGAAGATCAATGAGAAGATGGGTAAGATGGTTGTTGGGTTGTATATATATATATATATTTTTTTAAACCAAAATAATTGCGAAATCTAATTTAGGAGAAACAAGATTTGATTCCACATCCGTCGAACTAAAACAGACGAGGGCAAAAACCGAGCAAAATCACTTATACAACACACATCAAACAACTTTGAGTTTTGGTCTTGAGAATTTTCAGTCTATACAGGAGGCTACATCTGTTGAAACTCTTAGCATTTAAAACTTAACTTGCCCATATTGGAGAATATGCTGGAAGGGCTTTGTAAGAGGAGGAGCTTTGGTCAAGTTAAAGAGTTTATGAAGATAGTGTTGGATGCTGGGTGGAAGATCAATGAGAAGATGGCTGAGATGGTTGTGGGGTTGTATATTGAACTTGGGATGGTGGAGAAATTGGAGGAGCTACTTGTAGATTTAATGGAGACCAATCAAGTCTCAGAAGTTTTGTTGTTGGGGTGGCTGTGGGTAAGGATTAATGGTGGATGGGGGGTAGGGGAGGATGGCCGTGGGTGGGTGGGAGGATTGGGGCGGCTGGAGTGATGGGTAGAGTGTTTTGAATTATGTGAAAATATTTTTTCCTTTTTTTTTTAACTTTTAATTATTAGAATATTTAATTATATTTTTATCCATGTGCAGAAGGTGGGCTCCACTACCACATCACTCACCTAATTGGTGGATGATGTTCACGTGTACGAACTTACAAAAATACCTCTGCCACGTCATCAAAGTTAACAGACTTTTACATGGAGTTGACTGTAGGGACAAAGTGAGTCACCAAACCTTGGTCAAAGGATGAAAGTGGGTCATTTTAAGTTTAAGGGGGCAAAGTGAGATTTGACCTAAGTTTCAGGGGGTACTACAGTAAATAAGCCTTGCTTTTATAGAAAGCACTTCTACTCTTAAATATGGGTAACATTGTACATAACACACATCACTTGAATGTCTTGTACGATCTAGCCTTTACAATTTAATGGGATGTGAGAAAAGAAGTGAAACTGCCACAGCCTACATTCCTGGTCAATTCACCTATTTCCTTGTAACTGGAACCCTAAGTTTGCTTGGAGGCTTCTCAAATGAGTTTGTGAGCAAGGCTTACAACATTACCAAAGATGAAGCATACAAAATCACCAAAAGCCAGACTGGGGTTTTGATCATCAAGCTGGGTGAAGATGAAAAGACCAAAATGCCCAAGACCAGTGAAAACTCCACCCACAAACTAGTCCACAAATCACCAGTTCAACAACATTCATTGAGTAGGAGTTTCCATTTCTCAAAGAGGATGGGTTAAGTGCAAGCCTCATAAAGCTTGAAGCCAATGCAATTAGCTTCCCAATTTACACAACTGATACTACAGTTCAAGTAGTTTATGTTGCTGGAGGGAGTGGGCAGATTCAAATTGTGGGTCTTAATGGTAAATTGGCCTTGGACACACAAGTCAAAGCTGGTGATTTGCTTGTGGTTCCAAGCTTTTTCATGGTGGCTAAACTAGCAGGGGAAAATGAATTGGAATGTTTTTCTGTCATCACAAGTTCCCAGTAAGCAGAAGATGGCGTGCCAAATCCATGTGTCGTAAGAAGCAACCGCTTTAAGGATTATGGTTGGACGACCATGGTGGCCCGTGTATGCCCCATGGTGTTACATTGGGCAGTTTTTCCACTCCCAATGCATGCAGTCAAGGCTTCCTAGCATGCCAGGAAACCCCCGATTCCTCAGCTTTTCGAAGCAGTTTTTGTAGGTCCGCCCTCGTTGGTTTACGAAGATATTCAGCTCCGTATAAGTTGTTGACTGCATGACAGAATCTCTTGCAAGCTTCAAAGGATGTGGTCTCTGCTATCTTCAAGTAATCATCATTGAGGTCAACTGCTGTACCATATGCAAGCGTACGCATGGCGGCTGTCATCTTCACTTGTGGTGAGAAACCAAGCTTTCCAGTGGCATCAGGTTTTTGTTTGAAGTAATCGTCAAAAGGGATAATTTGTTCCATTATTCGATTAAACAACTCACGCCTCATGCGAAATCTATTACGAAAATCTGAAGGGGGATACAACGGATGGTTAGAGAAGTAATTTTGAAAAAAGTTTTCATAGGCACTTACTCAATCTCTTGGTATAGTACGTCGTCGTGATGATGTACCCCTATGGACAACCATTGTTTGTACCACTTTGCAAAACCCAATGGAAGATATCGTATAGTAGTATAGCTCAGAAGTTTCAGTGTCGTATCCACAGAGAGCAGTGTAAAGAAAATAACAGAGATGAAAAAGAACAAGTGTGATTGAGAGGTAGATTTATGCAAGATTTGATTTAGGGAAAATTTTATTGATTAAAATACTAAGGCATTGGGGTTCCACTTTCAACATAAGCATGCAACTCTTATTAATTTGATCCACAAAATATTTTCCATTGTAGTTGTTCAAAATAATTAAAGCTCTTTTTAATTTCCTTTAGAAGTATTCTAAGCATAACTTGTATCATTGACAACAAACGATCAAAAAATAATCTTCATCAAAATTCTATTAATCTAAGTAATTCTCTTCTCTTTTAAAAGCATGAAAGTTTTTACTACACAATGGGAAAAACATGATTGAACCCATGAAAGATTATCAAACATTCATCAATTAATTAAAAAGAAAACTACAAATTTCATTTGAACAAAAACTACAAATTCACATTAAAGCTTACGTTTGGATCAAACTAATAAAAATTACACACTCATATTAAAAGCTTTCTCCCTAGCTAAGGCTAGGGAGTTAGTTTCCCATAAAATAAAAGTAAAACAAATTAAAACTAGAAGAATTGGAGGAAGGAGAAAGAGCTCAAGAGAAGATTGTGAGCTTGGTGTGTGTTTTTGAAGCTTAAAGACTTCTCTATTTATAAGGCTAAGAGGGAGAAACATCATGATGAATTCCAACACCACCATTCCTCTTTTAATACAATCCATAACTCCCACTTCATCTTGTCTATGTTAGTGTGGTTGGAATCAATTTCATCCCATACTTCTTTTGCTGCTACACCTCAAGCTTTCTTCATATGGGTTTTCAAAGGTGTTCAATTATGTGTGAAGACCGTATTTTTAAAAGTATATATATTAATAATTTGAAGAAATAAATATTTATATCTTATTTTATTACATATATTATTCTATTATGATAAATATCTTATTATATATATATATATACAGTTATTCTCTTATCCGGATGTCCGCACATTATTATCGTGCGGATCCTATTGTAAACATGCAGGAAAACAGAAAGGGGTAGTACAAAATACACAGCGTCTGCACGATAATAACGTCCGGATGTCCGCATAAGAGAATTTCTGTATATATATATATATACGGATATGTATTTAATAGTCCTTGTAGTTTTGTCAATTCATA